CTTTCTTGCAGCAATGGCGCGGATCCACACTGACGACCACGGCTTGCCTCCCGTACCTAAAAGAACTTGGGAATGCTGGCTAAAGGCGCCCACTAGGGTCTAGGGAGTCTCGCTTTGGGTTTAGATTTTATAGGGACACTAGGAGGGACCCCTAGAAGGGACCCCTAATCCTAATACCCTATATATACCTTAGAAACCCCTTATATGGTCTCAGAAAGCCCCTATATAACCCCAAGGGTCCCTTTAAGGGTCTCTCCTTTAGTCCCTTGATTTTCGGGATAAGGGTTTAGGGAGTATCGCTTTGGGAGTCGTGAAGAAGCAGAGGCCCAGACGCCTGTCCCGCACTCCTCTGAAAATGTGGGGGTTTCCGAGAATAGGGGACCCCACTATAGTACCCTTCATGGCAGGATCCTTATTCTAAGGACCCCCAAATAAGGTACCCCTAATTTTCGGAAAGTCCCATTTAGGTCTAGTCATGGCCATCTGAAGCCGCGGCATGAGCTTCGTACTCTATGCGTGAGAAATCGGCAGGCGATGCTTTAGGATTTACTGGGATTCCGATGTGTTTGTCCACATGGTCGCCGTTATTGTTGCTGTTGCGGTGGTTTTGGGGCCCATTGCACTGTAACTATGAGAAGGAACCCCCCGAAACCCTATTCTAATTATGAAGGCCCCTACATTTAGGTAGTGCCTCAAGAGTCGGATGCTTTCGGTATCTTCTTCCAACAAGAAACCTGCAAAGCCGCACCCTGCATTGCTATGTGCAGGCTAGACCCTAAACCCTAATCCCTAAACCCTGAACCCCAAACCCTAAACCCTAAAGGTTTAGGGCCTAAACCGTAAACCCTAACCTCTAACATGTGGGTTTTGCATAGCTGAAGCTTTATGCTTGAGGGTTTCTCTCTGCGGTTGAAGGGCTTTGCCGTGAGGGCGAAGGTCGAGGGATGCTGGGCGAAGGATCTAGGGTTTCGGGTTTGTAGGGTTTATAGGGCTTATAGGGTTTAGGCTTTAGGGGTTTATAGTGTTTGGAGTTTAGGGTTTAGAGTTTAGGGCTTAGGGTTTAGGGCTTAGGGTTTAGGGCTTAAGGGTTTATAGGGTTTAGGGTTAACGGTTTAGCGTTTTGCTTGAAGTCCTGTAGGCAATATGTAGTAGGCGTTGATGTTCAAGCTGCTGTTTAGGGCTCCATGCTTGGTCAAGGAACTTCGTGCTGATGAGCTCGATGGAGGACGTCCCCGTGCCCTTGTTCCCTGCGGCATAGTACCTGAGCCGATGTGCTGCATCCCTTGACCCACAATGGACATCCCGAGCTAACCATGAACAACCGTAAAGCCTAATCCCCAAACCCTCAAGACCCTACACCCCCAAAAAGAACGAAGTGACCGAAGTCCTTGAAGCAAGGAAGGAACTTACGATGGACCGGCTTTTGCTATGAGCGTTGTGCAGGCTAGACTGCCGACGTGGGTATCTGTAGTGTGTCCAAGAGAGTCCAGCTAGAGCTGCGATTGTCGCAGGTTTCGTATAGGGTTTAGGGCTTAGGCCCTAATGCCAAACCCCCTCAACCCAAAGGTGTCAGCATCTTGGAACTCAGTGCACCGAGACCTTTGGGCAATAGAGTGGCTGGCTGAAGATTTCGTCGAATCCACGCTTCTGAGCTTACAGCCTAGGTTTGTTGCGTACATCTTTAGGGTAACCCTAAACCCTGAACCCTAAACCCTGAACCCTAAACCTTAAACCCTAAACCCCAAACCCTAAACTGTGGCTCCGGGTTTAGGGTTTTAAGGCTTAGGGCATAAAGTTTATAGGGGCCTCACAGTTTCCAGGACCTCTAGCGCTTAAATTTTACCTAAGCACATCCCTAAACCCTAAACCCTATAATAATTATCCTAAACCCTAAACCCTATGTCCCAAACCCTAAACCCCAAACCCTATATCCTAAACCCTAAACCCTATATCCTAAACCCTATAAACCCTAAACCCTGCATCCTAAACCCTAATTTCTAAACGTTGAAAGGACCCTAAGAGGCCAGGCACGCCCGCGCCACGTCCACGGCGTCGGAGCCGATGGAGATCTTGTCTGCTCCTGCGCGGAAGTAGACGTCGGCAACTTCCAAGGCCGAATAGCTCTTGCCTGGAAAGGGATTAGGGCTTTTGGGGTTTAGGGTCTAGGGTTTAGGGAGTGGGGTTTAGGGTTTAGGGTTTAAGGTTTAGGATTTAGGTTTAGGGTTTAGTAGTTTAGGGTTTGGGGCTTAGGTTTAGGGTTTAGGATTTAGGTTTCGGGTTTAGGGTTTAGGGTTTAGGGTTTAGGTTTAGGGTTCAGGGTTTAGGATAGCTCTTGCCTGGAAACTGCTGATGGTATAAATCCTGCAGTACCTTGAGGACCCTGAAACTATGCATTACCTTGAGGACCCTGAAACTATGTGAACTGGTGTGTCTTCCTTCTGATGGGTAATGCAGGATTTAGATCATCAACCCAAGGGATTCTCATAGGTCTTCGGTCTTGGGTTTGGGGCTTTGGGCTTTGGGGTTTCAGGGTTTAGGGTTTCAGGCGTTAGGGAGCTTATAGGGTACAAGTATCACAATCTGAATGTGGAGCACTTTCAGGACGCCCAGACCCTCAAAGCCCTAGAGCCTGAACCCCAAAGCCCCACAAAATCTAAGGCCCCCAGGCCCGAAATCCCTAAACTCTACACCCTAAACCTAAAGAGGCCCTACACTCTGAAGTAGCAGACTTCAAGAAGGCCAACAGGAGAGGACACACCTGTGAGGGTTTAGGGTTTAGGATTTAGGACTTAGGGTTTATAAGGGGAACCTGGACCTAGCTATTTTAAGTTCCCCCAAAACAGGAAAACCACCTTGTCTCCTATGGATCCCAATTGAAATCCTAAGACCTAAACCCTAACCCTAAAACCTGTCGTGGTAGCCGTAATCGAAGTTCTGACCAAGAACCCAGAAGAAGGCCAGCAGAAGGTTCCTGACTAACAAGGTCCTGGCTCTTGTTCTGTATCACCAGAAAATAGGATTATATATATATATACATATGTCTCTCTCTCTCTCTATAGATATATATGTATGCATACGGATACTTCTTCATGTATATATGGTTATATATATATATTCGTATGTATGGCGTTGCTCGAGTTTTGGAGGACTTAGAACCAGCAGTGTCCTATTCCGGCTCCTTAACTAAACTCCAACCTCCTTATTCAAGCCCAAAACCCTCAACCCTAAAGCCCAAAAGTTTAGGGTTTGGTGGTTTAGGGCTTTAGGGGTTTAAGGCTTTAGGGTTTTAGGGTTTAGGGTTTTGGGGTTCAGGCACCTTTCTCGTCGGTGTAAGAGCGGATTCCGCCACCTACAGTCAAGGGCACGAAGACCCGTTCCTTGGCAGCGCGGGGTTTCAGAAGGGAGTTCGGGAGGTCTGAAAGGTTCGGGGATCAGAGTTCGGGGTTTAGGGTTCGGGGTTTTAGGGTTCAGGGTTCAGGGTTTAGGGTGTGGGGTTTAGGGTATTACGGGGTTCTGACACATTAGGGATTGGGCACGGTTTGGAGTACTGGATTTGTGAACACCAAAGAGTTGGAAACCGGAAAAAGGCCAATTAGTGCAGGGATTCCCTATACACTACTCTTAAGGAACAAGCCTATTGAGTTTCCAATGTTTTGGGCTTCTACTGCATGCCTTTAAGAACCAGAAATTTGGCGAAGGGGTTTTGCCTTGAAAGTATGGGCTTTGAAGCTCAGGGGCTCAGGGAATCGAACCCCTCAGCCCTGAACCCGAAGCCCTCGCTTGTAGTTTGTGGATTCCTTGATTCGAGGGGCTTAGGGTTTAGGGCTTAGGGGTTTAGGGGTTTAGGGTAAGGAAACATTCGAGGGCCAAGCCAGACCCCCGAAGTTTTTCTCCCCAGAGACCCGGGACATGGTCAAAAACCCTGTGCACCCGTTAGTTTGGGGTTTTTGATTGAAACCTCGACCCCTCCAGCGACGTCAGGCTTAAAACATTAGTCCTGCAAACCGAACTCCTGTATCCGCCCAGACTCTGCTGCGCTCTTCAGTACCTCCAGCATCGGTTGGTCTTCCAGCACCATATCCCTGAACGCCGTGATATTCCTGAGAAAAGGCTTAGAGAGGGTTTCGGGTTCAGGAACTCGAACCCAACAACTGCAAAGCCTCCACCAGGATACCTTGCACAACACGATGCAAACAGAACCCACACAGCTGTACCAAACAAACCTCTAAGCCCCAAACTCTAAACCTGAACCCTAAACCCTAAGCCCTAAAGCCTAAACCCAAAGCCCTAAACCCTAAAGCCTAAACCCTAAAACCGTAAATGGTGTCCCAAGGCACAGGAAGGAAACCTCATCTGCTCCATCCTTTCAGCTCTTTGAGGCTGTCGGCTCTAGGAGTTTCGGGTTTAGGGCGAGCCGACCTGGGTGATTCTGTTGATGATATAAATCCTGCACTACCTTAAGGACCCTAAACTACGGGAATTATGGTATATTCCCTATTATGGGTGATGCAGGATTTATATCATCAGCCGTTGCTCAGTGTGCAGCAGGCACCGGTAGCTTTCAAGGGCATGCAAGGCTTTGGTCAGGCACAGCATCCCATCTCAAGCAGGGGCAGCAACACATGGCTCTCTTGGCCTGAGCTACGCAAAATTCCGCGGTGGATAACACAGCTGAATATATCTCAAGCTGTAGGACGGACCCTTGTTGTTTGCTGCTGTACATGCAATGGCTCTCTTGGCCTGAGCTACGCAAATTCCGCGGTGGATAACACAGCTGAGTATATCAAGCTGTAGGCCCCTTGTGGATTGCTTCTGTACATGCAATGGCTCTCTTGGCCTGAGCTACGCAAATTACTACGCGGTGGATAACACAGCTGAGTATATTTCAAGCTGTAGGCACCTTGTTGATTGCTTCTGTACATGCAGTCCTCATATTTGGGACACATCATGGGACCCCTGTTCTGGGGAAATATGAAAAATCATAGCTGCGTGCCTAACAATCAATCAGGAATCGCTGGCCGGAGCGTCCGGTCGCGGCGAGACTGGTCTATGAGTTCATGGAAATTCTTACTCACAACTCCTCCGATCCAGCGTGCCATCGCCTCCGTCACATGGCTGTCCACCTGAGCAAAACCGACGCTTTCCCGAATCATTCGTTTCACTTTGGTCTCATCCTCCTTGTAGAAAGCCTCGGCCCTCTCTGAGTCGACGCTGCTTACGGACTGCGTCACGGCGCGAATACCTTGCCTGCCACGATCTATCTGCTCATGTAAGAGATTTGTAGCCCGCTCTGGCATCACAAACACCACTGGAATCTTCAACTTAGAAGCAACAAACTGCTCATACACTGTCCAAATTCTGGACAAGTATACGGGCTCATCCCAGGTGTCCAGAATCGCTACCACGCGGCCTGTGCGTAAGAGGTTACTCTCAAAGACATCCTCCAGGTTGTCGCTTCCAGCACTGCATGCTTCAACGATCAATCGAAACTGGTTGTTAACAAAGAAGCACATGAAAAAGAACACTGTCTCTGGCTGGATAGCTGGGACAGCTGTGCTCTGGTACATATGAAGCGCACTCTTCATCTGCCCAATGCTATATCGCCATGTCCACGACATGAAGTGGGTCTGCTCGCGTCGATCCTTGCGTGGAAGCCAGTCGACCAGCGCACAACCCGGTCTGCCATCACGTGGACAGGGCAGAGTCTGACCTATCGGGTTCTCGGCGAGCCAAAACGACGTTTTCAAGTCAATGAACGTTGGGTCGTCTTTCCCAGTCCGCTGCCTTGCCAACTGCGCAAACTCTGCTGAGAGCAGATAACGCATGCTGACTCCAGCGAGGTTGCTTTGCCGGGCACGCATTTCGAGAACACGCTGGTCGACGTAGGACTTAGCAGCACCGAGCTTTTCTAAAGCAACATGATGGTGGTGAATTGTTTCCGGAATCTCTTCCCACAAATCGTCATAAAGATGGTTTAGGACTCCCTCGATCCGCTTCGTCCGGCGTGCACGCCGGTACATGGCCACCAGGTTCAAGCACACCATCACGATGACAACCCCAAGTGCAATTAAAGGCAGATGCCACCAAATACATTCATCCTGGAACACCACGTGAGGGAGTCCGCATGCTTTGCAAGTGTCTACTTCAGCCACATGCAGTGCCGGACATGGCGCGCAACTGCTGCGATCTGGCACGGGAACTGAACCTGGACCGCAAGGATTGCAGTAAGAAGCATTTGGCGCAGAAAACTTTCCTGGCTGGCACCTTTCGCAGCCAAGCAAGTTGCGAGCAGGAAAATATCCAGCCTCACAGGGCTTCTCATCGAATGCAGCTGCTCCCTGAAAAATGGAATCCTTGGACCGCAACTCGGAGACGTCCCAAGAGCTTAAACTGTGGCTGAAGGACACGGCGTTTTGGAACATGTTGTCCATGTTCTCGACTGACGAAGTATCCCAAGCCCCGATCGCCTGATCAAAAGCTGCAGCACCCCAGAACATAGCAAACATGCTTGAGACTGAGGAAGTATCCCATGCACCAATATCTTGGTTGAAAGAAACAGCATCCTGAAGCATTCGATCCATCAGCGTCACTGCTGATGTGTCCCAAGAGCCCAAGGGTTTGTTGAAGCTCGTGGCGCCCATAAACATCCAACTCATATCCTTCACTGCCGAGGTGTCCCAGGAGCCAATGTCTTGGTTGAAAGCTGAGGCATCAAAGAACATGCAACCCATGTCTTCGACCGAAGAAGTATCCCATCCAGCGATGATTTGGTTGAAAGACAGAGCACGCGAAAACATATAGCGCATGTTGAGCACAGACGATGTATCCCATGCCCCGACGTCTTTGTTGAAGGACACAGCCTCATAAAACATGCTCTGCATTGATGTCGCTGAAGAGGTGTCCCAGCAGCCAATATCTTGGTTGAACGCAGCCGCCCCTTCAAACATGCTTCCCATGAATATCACCTGGACTTTGAAGTAACAGGGAGAAACAAGGACTGACTTTTATTTCATAATGGTTCCTTAAAGGAAGAGGTCCAAAAACAAAGTATTCAAGTACTCCAAAACCCGAGTACCTGAGCCCAAAAAAAAGTTAGCCTTTTGAATTATCTTAGTTTTGTATCAGCCCCAACAGGTTAAAGGTTACCTACTCAGCCCCTAAGTCACTGCTGAGGTATTCCAAGACTGGATGGGGCTGTTGAAGGCTGAGGCCTCCTCGAACATGTAAGACATATCCTCGATGGAAGACGATTCGTTGTAATTGGCTTGGTGTAGGGTTTAGGGTTTAGGGTGTAGGGTTTAGGGGTTAGGGTTTAGGGTGTAGGGTTACGTGTCCATGCCACCTTTCAGGGTCCAGGGTTTAGGGTTCACAAAGGATTATTTAGGTCTGGAGTTCAGAGTTTAGGGTTGAAGGTTTATAGGGTTTGAGGAGTGAAGAATGCTGGTGCTAAGCACCCAGGCCGCTCGCTTGCCTCGTTTTGTTGCCCACCACAAGCACCCCCAACTACTGTTGATGATATAAATCCTGCATTACCTTAAAGACCCCTAAACTATGGGAATTATGGTATATTCCTTACTATGGGTAATGCAGGATTTATATCATCAACCGCAGTGCCCTAAACCCTAAACCCCTAAATCCTAAACCCTAAACCCTAAACCCTTAAACCCTAAACCCCTAAACTAGGGGAATTATGGTGTATTTCTTGTTAACCATATTCCCACCTCCTGGGACCCGGTCTAGGGGTCCAAGTACCCAAAATGGTAGGGTTTCCAGGTCCAAAAACCCATTCAGAGTATGGATTTTGGGGCATAAAAGGTCGTTACTATTTGGGTACTCGGACCCTCTGGGTCGTATACTGGGAAGCTTCTCTCTCCCAAAGCTGTGCAAGTACACTCGGGCATCGGTCGAAGCCTCAAACGCCCACGGGAGTTGTCGGTGGCGCTCTCGTCAGTGCAGGGCTTAGGGTTTATGCTTTAGGGTGCGGCCCTGAAACTCAAAGGGTTACAAGTACAAAAACAAAGTTACAACTAGAATATTGCAACTAACCCAGCTACCTGTCCTCGACGGTTGAGGTATCCCATGTGCCAATGTCTTGATTGAAGCTGGAGGCATACCTGAACATCCTTTCCATGCTCTTGACAGCAGAGGTGTTCCATGAGCCAATGGGGCGGTTGAAGGCGGAGGAATCAAACATGTGGCTCATACTGATAACCGACGATGTATCCCAGCAATCGATGGCCTGCGAGAAGGTTGTAGCACTGAACATGGAAGTCATGTCTGCGACTGATGACGTGTTCCAGGAGCCGATGGCTTGTTCAAACTTCTGGTCGTTGTCGAACATGTAGCTCATGTCGGTCACGGCCCCAGTGCTCCAAGATCCAATTGGTCGGTTGAAATTGGCATAGTTGAACATTCCGCGCATACTTGTCACCGCCGACGTGTTCCAAGAGTCGATAGCTTGATTAAAGGCCCGGGTGTCCTGGAACATCCATCGCATGTCCTTGACTGATGACGTGTCCCAGAAGCTTATGTCTTGGTTGAACGTCCACGCCTCTGAGAACATGTAGCTCATGTTTGTTGATTGATTGATATCAGTGAGGGGGCCACCCTCACTCGCTGTCTGAACTGGCCCCTTCCGGGGCATCACTGTCAAAAGCAGCCCCATCTGGAGCCTCAGCATCCCTATCAAGAG